CCTCTGAAAACACACTTGAGAGTCAGTTATGAGTTGATTCTGACTCAATAGCAATGAGTTTTGGTTTTGAATATTCCCAAAAAAGCAATCCCTGGGTAGCCAATGGTTATATTTCCACTTTATAGCCAAAAGGTGGTCAGTTAGACCTCACCTAGAAGCTCATGGGGAAACAGACTTGACAATCTGCTTTCAAAGTCCTGTCTTTGGTGAATCCCACAGAACAGTTCTGCTCTGCACACATGGAGTGACTATGATTTAGAATAAATTTCTAAAAACCAACAATTACACTCAAAGCCTCTCTCCTTAGATTTTCCTACCAAGATAGCAGTAATTGTAATTTTCTTTAGTTTATGCCCCAGAGAGCTGGTTGATTTGGTTTTCAGTATTTTTGAGGAATGTTCCCTCATAGATTACTTATTTGCCCTATGAAAATTCTTATATAGGTGAAATAAGGTAGATCCCTGATCTCGGTCACTCAGGGAGTTAACAAACAGATCAAAACAGAAAACACAAAACTTCTTTCAAACAAAGCACACTCTACTTTCTCTGGGGCCATGTATTCATACCAAAAAAAAAAAGATCCAAGGGGGAGTGGAAGCAGAGGGATGAGGATGTGGGGGGATTAATCATGGAGTTGTACAATTTGATCGGGGTGGGGGTGAGGGAAATTGGAAGAATCTGTTCTGGAAAATAATGTATTTTAATTTTGTAAATAAATTAGTTTAATTTTTTTAAAAAGCATTTGAAAATCCCAAATATAAGTTTATGGGTTTCCCCACCCCTAAATTAAAAATAAAAATATTGGGCTACCATCTTCAAGCTTTTTTTCTGTACTCTATTGGATCACCTTTTTTTGAAATGGGCACAAATACGGATCTGTTCTAGTCCATTGATGTCTTTGAGTTATGGTGCTGGAGAAGAGTACTGAATATATCATTGACTGCCAAGAGAACTAACAGGTCTGTCTTGGAAGCCAGGATTTTGAGAGTCCATCTCACATACTTTGGGCATGTAGCCAGGAGGGACCATTCTCTGGAGAAGGACATCATGCTTGGAAGGATTGAGGGACAGTGCAAGAAAGAAAGACTCTAGATGAGATGGATTGACACAATAACTGGGGTAATAAGGGTAGGTGTATCAGAGACAGTACGATTGGCTTAAGATAGAGCAGGGTTCAGAGCTTTTGTGCATAGGGTCACTATGAGTTGTAGTCGACTTGACAACACATAACAACCAATCTGTTAAGTAGCTATCTTTCAAATCTCTTGGCATAGACTATTGAGCACATCCAGGTCTTCATCTGTTTACTGCAACACGTCAATTGGTATTCCATCAGTTTCTAAGAATTTGGCTTTCCCCTCTCAATGTCTTCAGTGCAGTTTGGACTTCTTCCTCCTGTCTTTTGGCTCTTGATCACGTGCTACTTCCTGAAGTGGTTCAGCTTTGACCAATTCTTTTTTTCTCTATTAATTCTTTCCATTTTCTTTAAATGCTTCCTGCATCATTCAATATTTTGCCCCTAGAATCCCTCAATGTTGTACCCTGAGACTAGAATGAACTCTTCAGTCCTTTCAGTTTGAGATTTGTCAGCTGTGTCCTTTCCTTTTGGTTTTCTCACTACAGCTCTCTTCACATTTCATTATCGTGCTTTACTTTGTCTTATCAAGCTATCCTTTGACATTTTCTGTTCAATCTGGCATTACTTCAGCATTTCTTCCCTTTAATTTGACTTCTCTAATACCATTACAAGTTTCAATTTATTTAGGTTGTTAAAAAGTGACTGAAACAGTACATTGATAGAGGAATTCCAGAAATTCAAGCTGGATTCCAAAGAGGTCATGGAATTAGGGATATCATCAATAATGTCAGATGAATGTTGGCTGAAAGTAAAGAATACAAGAAAGAGGTTTACTGGTTTTGTGGATTATGTAAACACATTTAACTGTGTAGATAATAACAAATTATGGATACTATTAAGAATAATGGGAATCCCAGAAAACTCAACTTTGCTAGTGGGAAATCTATACATAGACCAAGGAGCAGTTGTCCAAGTAGAATAAGGGAACACTGAGGGTTTAAGAATCAGGAAAAATGTGTGTCAGTGTAAGAACGTTCTCCATACTTACTCAATCTCTTTGTCATGCAAATAATTCAAGAAGTTAGACTTTATGAAGAGGCATGTTGCATCAGGGCTGGAAGAAGATTCATTAACAACCTCAGTTATTTAGATGACATGGCTTTGCTTGCAGAAAATGAAGAAGACTTGAAGCACTTACTTAAGAAGAGCAAAGTCCACAGCCTTCAATACGAATTAGAACTCAACATCAATAAACAAAGATCCTCACCACTGAGACAATAGGCACCATCATGATAGAGGAAAGACTGAAGTTGTCAAAGACTTCATTTACTTGGATCCACAATCAGCATCCATGATAGCCCAGCCAGGAAATAAAAAGACATGTTGCACTGAGTATATCTTCTGAAGAACCTCTCTAAAGTGACAAAGAGCAAAAATGCTATTTTAAACACCATGGTGTCTTTAATCTAAATCATGATATATTTTCACATGTTCTCTATGCATCTGAAAGTTGGACAGTGAATAAAGAATACCAACGAAGAAATGTCAACGCTTTTGAAGTGTGACAATGGTGAAGAGTATTGAATATACCATGGACTACCAAAAGAACCAAGAAAACATACGTGGGAAGAAGATCAGTCAGAGTGATCCTTACAGGCAAGAACGGTGAAATTTTCTTACATACATTGGATATACAAGCGACTCGACAGCACATAACAACAACAACAACACTGGACATGTTGTCAAGAGGGACCAGTCTTTGGAAAAGATATTCTGTTGGAAAAGGTAGAGAGTCAATAAAAGAGAGAAGATCCTCAATCGTATTAATTCATACGGTGACTTCAACAATGAGCTTGAACTAGGTGGGCGTTACGACAGTGGTGCAGGATAGTGTAAGATTCAGATCTGTTGTTCACAGGGTGGCTATGAGGGGTGGAATGCACTTAACACTAACAGTAAAAATCTCTAAGCTCATGTTCCATGTTGAAGGGAGATGGTATGAAACCAAGTATATTAAAAGTTCAAACCCAAGCCATAGGTTGGGCTAGTTTCACAGTTTTATAGGGATGTTTTTCAAGGAGTTTATGGTGAGTGTATTGGATAAAATAAAGACTCTCACAAAAGAATTTCCATAAATTCTGGAAGATATTACTTGATACTAAAAAAAAAAAAAAAGAAAGAAAAAAGAAAAAAAAAGGCAGAGTTATATAAGCCTGTCAAACTGAGTCTCTCAGTCTATAAACTACTATCAAATCCATTTCAAAGAAATATTTTCTTCAAGTACTCAATGAATTCATTTTCTCTGCTTTGTAATCTATCTCCCTATTAGAGACATCTCACTTAACTTGTGAAAAGAGCAGATAGATAATGAACAGAGCGCTGGAACAGAAGAAAGGAAGGTCAGTCTGAAGGGAATGTATGATTAGGTATATGAGTGACAGTGGACAATCTGGAACCAGAGACACATTGCAAATTAGCCTGGGGGAGGAGGAAAATGTGCAACAGTGAGTAAATAAAACCCAACCTTTCTGTAAACATGCATTAAAATCACAATTTTTAAAAATAAGATATTAATAAAAACGGAGGAGGAGTTCTTCCTCTCATCCTTAACCAGTTATTTTAGATGTCTTTGCTGGAGAAAATTTTACTCAATTCTTCTGTAACTTCTCTCTTTGCAAAAGAGGAAATTAGCACCAATATGTGGCTGAGTCCCTCTGCTGAGCAGAATGAACCACCAAATAAACATTGTTTAAAGAGCTTTTAATGACCTTTGTTGTTTTGTTTGTTCACTTTTGCTTTGTATCAGCAGTAAAGGCATAGCAAGCAGTCTTTTTCCTGCTCCATTTTTCATTTGGTTTCTGTAACATTTGCGTATCTTCCAGAGTTCTCGTAAGGTTGGTTGTTTCTGATTCCCTGGCGGTCCTCACTCTTGCAGTTTGGCTGAAGTTACTCTTACTATGATGTTCTCAAGGCATCCATTCATTCAGAACTCCTAACATCTTATTGTTCTGCTTTGAGTCATCTGGAGATTAGGGCAAACAGAGTATTCATTGTTCTTGAAAGAAGTTTTTCTCCAGTTCATTAGAGACTTCCAGTCTCAGAGACGCTGAAGTAGTCTGTCTTCTTGTCTTCTATCCTTACTGACTAAGGAAAATAAAGAGGTTTTCTGAGATAAATGGGAACATTTGAAGAAAGAAAGGACAAGGGACTGGGAGACAATGACATTCGAGAGGAGAGAAAGAAGTGCACAAGGAGGGAGAAAAACAGAGCGACTTCCCAAGAGGGGTCAGTGCTGGTTTCCTCCGTGGGGAGGAGGGAACCAAAAGGGAGCTCTTAACTGAAGAGGAGGGAAGGGCCAGGGAGAGAAAGGAGAGGGAACTAGATAGTGGTGCACCAGGAAAAAGGAAAGCCTTTCTTGGAGAATGTGTTGAAGCCTTCTGGATAGGACTTGACTGTTTTCTTCTAGTCTGTGCCAGGGTCGAAAGGCTTGTAGCTGGTGGTCCACAAAGGCTAACCAGCAGTATTCAAACTCTGAAATAAGAAAGTGGTGGGAAAGGTCAAACTCCTGCCATTATAAAGACAACAAAGGCATGCAGCGCTGAGGAACATACCTCCTGCATCAGAATTTTCACCCCTTCCTTTACCATAGGGATGGAGCAAGTCCACAGAACCCAAACTCTTTCTTCTAGGTGAACTTAGATCCACTCACACTGAATTTTTGGAAGCCTCTGTTATCTTCCCCCATTTCCAAACATTCTCTCCTCCCTCGGATTGCTAGACCACATTTCCTGTGCTCTCTTCCATTGAACTCTCAGTTCTTGTCCTGATTCTACCATCGCTGCAGCGAGCAGAGGTTTCAGCAGGAAGTCTAAATACTGTCCACCCTTCCTCCCTTGCCCCATTTTCTGCCCTCTCCCCACAGTTCCCCCCTGACCTCTGCGTGTCATGATGGCAATGTGGACTCCGGCAGCGCACAGTGAGCGCAAGCCCTCCTCATATCCTTTTAGGCAGGTGTAGACGCGGGAGGCGAAGATGTACAGGCCCAGGTGTCTGTTCCTTCCCAGGAAATCAACCACTTTGCGGGCACAGTTAGGGCACGGACTCCAGGAGATAAACCAAACGATCCTGTAGTGCTTTGCTGGGTCCAGCTGCCAAGAAGGAACCCGATTCAGGAAGCACAATTCGGCGTGACAGTGTGTCTTGGTATCAGAATAATACTGAACATGGAAAAGGGAGGAGGGGGAAAAAAAGGAGTTAGGCCTTTTGGTAACAGGAAGGAGGGCCTGCAGGTGAGGCTTTGGCCTCCAGCATAAGACAAAGAGACAAGAAGGGACCAAATACCTGCAACCAGTGTAAGTGATATTTTAATGGAATGAATCCTGTTCAAAAGTTTATCTTGCATTGAAATGTTGCCCCTCTTGATTATTAACTTTTCTGGGCCCTCTCTGATCTTTAATTGCAGGAGTGGCATCTATTTCCTAAACAACTTACCTCTGGAAACTCTGCGAACTTTGATAAATGTCCATAGTTGTAGAGGGACTTCAGGCCTTTTGTTCATAGGGTTGCTAGTGCTCGTCTTGAAGGCAATCAACAACAACAGTGCCTTCACAGGCTCTCTCTTGGCTCTGATCCGGCAGGAGATAGAGAAAGAGTTGGAGGAGAAAGAAGCGGGGGAGTCAGGTGAGCCCCAAGTTCACTGAGCTGGTGCCAGGGAGCTCAACAAGCTTCTTTCGTAGAGGGATCTAGCTCTCCATCCTTCCACCCTGGGCCTAAACCCCAGACCTGCTCACTCACCAATCATTCCCCAAGCTTCTACTCTGGGCCTCATCTGTACTCAGCCCAAAGCTGACATCAACTCTATCAAATCAGCTCCCTGAGCAGGAAGGCAAGTGCAAGGGACCATCAACACCCTCCTCAAGGTCAAGGGAAAGGAGCCATTGCTGTGCTGATAGTAACTGGGACATTAAACCCAAATACAATGGGACAGATTTCCAACCAAGGTCTGGGACAAAATCAAGTCACTATGAGAGAGCAATGACTATGATAGCAGTGTGATGGGGGTTTCACAGGTGACTTGACAAGTGCCTGTGGGGCATCCTAGGGTTCAGTGCAGCTAATAAGGCAGAAGTGGGCACCAGCATGCCTACAAATATCTCTGAGCAGTTAGTGGGGTCTTAACCATGCTCAGAGTCAGCCCAAAGTGACTAAAAGGAGTATTTGTACTTGAACACGGAGCCACATAGACTCAGGCTCCAGACCAGAGGCCATCCCAGACAGGGCAAGGAAGCAATATCCTTCACCTTCAGGTACTCTAAGCCTGGCCTGGCCTTGCCTCTCCCAGATGTTGGGTGACCTTTGTACTACCCTTGATCAGGGCTGTCTTCTCTCCCTAACCTCCCTCAAATCTCTCTTTTGTCAAGATCAGTCTCAGGAGACAGAAGCTTGGGACTCCGAGCCTCACAGAAATCAGAATGTAAACTATTACAGGCCCTTCTTTCTAACAACATTTAAGTTGGAAGCGAGGAATAGGATAGAGATGCTTTTGAAGAACCCCCTTTTTGTCAACTGCAGCCCTTATACAGCCCTCCTGAGCATATCTGGAGAGGTATGGGGTGATCCCAGTGTGGGGAGTGACTATGCACACTGGATATGGTGACTTATTACCAATGTGCAGCCTAAAGTCAGCTACACCCAACTCCAGGGCAGATCCAGAAGGTTAGAAGGGTTCAAAGATCACAGGGGATGTGTGTGTGTGCGTGGGGGGGAGGGGTAGAGGGGTGTGTACAGGAACTCTGTGGGACACAAAGATAGCCTTCTATTTACAAATGCCCTGAGGTGAACATAAAATAAAGGGAAAGGGCCTGCTGGCCAAAGTTGGCCTGGGACAGTCACCTGGCTATGTAGGAAGCCACTGATGTTGACCGTTGGGATCCTCAAGTTACCGTCTAGCTGTAGCACCTCATAGCAAAGGTAGGTCTTGTGTCCCCCAACAATTGAAGGATCGTTATTAAAGTAATAATTGAATTTTCTTTTATCCATATACCTGCAAACAATGAGAGAGAAAATTCAATGCATAGAGCTATCCAAAGATGCCCCGGTCATCCTCCTGCCGTGACTTGTCTTTCATGTGCCCAAGTTTTGACAGAGGAGGGGGTCTTCCTCCCCTGTACAGGAATCCTGAGTCTTCTCTCTGACCCTTCTGGATTGCTTTGGATTGGAGAATTCCCACTCAAGAAATGCAGAATTCAACCAATCATTCTTTCATCTTAATTTCTTGGAATTTATTAATGTGTTCTGCTTCCTTTAGTGTCATTTATGATAATAATACTTTCTTGCTTTAATTTTCTTTAGCCTCAACTTGAACTTGCATATGAGTAATTGATGATCTGACCCACAATCTGCCCCTGGCCTAGTTTTGACTGCTGATATTGAACTTCTCCAATGATTTCTTCCACAAATGTAGTTAAATTGGATGTGCTCTATCTCCATACCTTTTCAACCTGTATGCAGAACAGATTATCCGAGAGGCTAGGCTCTATGAGGAGAAGTGTGTGGCATCATGTTTGGTGGAAGAT